TTTTTATTTTCGAAATGTATCACTGGCTGCGTTTGTTTTGTCATGTCTCACAACTGATTGTCCAAGCTGTATTGTGTACGGTGGTCTCTTTTTGGACGATGTTGTGGTCCTGAAAAGGGCCGTTTTGTTGGTTGTAATTTTAGAGGAGTGAATAATCAAAAGAGGCACTGTCCAGGAGACGTTTCAGTGTTGGGATAGCGTGATCAATGGCAAAAAAGAAAATGTTGCAACGACGTCGTGAATGAAAAAAATCACCCTTCTTGGCCTTCAGGTAATATTCGCCATTGCTTGAAAGGCGCATATCAATGACTTTTGCCGTAACTTTTGCTGCATCTCGTTTCAAACTTGCCACCTTTTTTTGTTCTTTCTGTGTTACGATGGCTACAGCAAATCTATTGTGACGATTGTTGTTATCACGCTGTAGCTCGTATGGATAATCAATACGTAGCTGTTGGCAGTCCCCACAGTGACGAAATCCAACAGCAAAAACGCAGAGTATAACAAACTGTGTGTATGTTTTGACTGGGTCGTTACTAAAATATTTTTCAACCAATCAGACCTACAGTTCTTTGTAATTCTGAGGCAAGATTACAGACGTAAATTAGGTGTGAACCGAAGGTGTGAACACAGTTACGTAGAACCATGGAGGTAATAATTACCTCCATGGTAGAACACAGTCTTCTTTGGAGATAAAAATGAAAAATACTTAAAAAAAACAACTTCGGTTTCATTTAATATAAATAGTTTATCCATTATCATATTTAATATTTTTTTAAGTATTTGAGTGAAGCGTGTCGTTATTATCGTCACTGCGTGGGGAGATTCCCGGGGCTTCCGGTTACTATTTGGTCCCGTCCCGTCTCGTACCTATTACCCTTTCTAGCACCATGCTATTACCATGGAGGTAACAATAGACCCCTTTCTAGCTCCATGCTATTACTGAAAGCAGTGCCGGGAAAATTTAATAGTTATTGAACGAAAAGGAGATTTGTATTTCAGGGGTTCACTGCGTGTGGGTTACGCCACAGTCATTTGTGTTGTCTACATGTAACAAATTTTGACGAGTCACGCAACTAAAAGTAAAACCCCAGTTGTCTGCATGGAGGTACTTCCATTGTCTGAACTAAAACAAAGCCAGTCTTGCAATTTGATCCCAGCTGTCACTCACCGTTCTATGAGGTCAAAAATAACGATCACCCAATCAAAGTCCCAGAATCACGCAAAGTTTACCTACGATTTGATACAAATAAATCAATTTTGGGGAGACAAGTGACGCTTAGAAATAAAGTGTTCTTGAATAAGCGTCAGCTGCTACAAATTGTACAAAATGTGACCCAGTTTTGGCATCAGGAACGAATGAAATGTTGCAAAACTGACGCCTAATTTAGAACATATATGTACCAGCACTCCACAATATTGCTACTTGTAAACAAAATTCTAAATGTATTAATTTTTTTTGATTTGGGAGATTCTTAGATATTATTTAGTTGTGTTCTTACTGATGACAAAGATTTTCAAGCACAATTTTTTTAATTAGATTACAACAGGTTTCAAATGAACTGTGACATAGTTTTGAAACTTAATCCATCCATATGACGCATTTGAAAATAGCCTAACAGTCTAGTTACCAGCAAATAGGTAGTTATTGATAACAGTAGTTATAAATTAACTACATGTAAGCAGTTTCTCAACATAGATAGATACATGTGCATGAACAATTATTACCTTTCCTTCAGGTGTTTTGTTTTCAACCCATATGTCTGGGGCCTGAGCTGCTGCAGCTGCAACAGCATGCTGCATAGACACAGTGGAGTGTGGCGGCATCTGATTCGGCATCGGCATAGGTGGTGGCGGCATTGGTCTCTGTTCATTAATAAATACAATTAATATTATTTTAATAAAAATCATCTCAAAGCTTCACACAACACATCTCCACGAATAAAGATTCATTCTGATCAATTTGTATCGCATCCTGGAAAGATTTTTACAGACAAAAACCCCAAATTGTACACATGTAGGTTACTGTATATAATATTAATATAACAAATTTGCATGGCTAGACTGACCTGCATATGAAATGGTGGTGGTAGACCAGTCGGTGGAGGCATCGGCATTGTTGTATCAAATGGCGGTCTCCCAAAAGGCGGTCTTACTGGAGGAGGCGGCCCACGCATCATGTGACCCATAGGTGGTGGCCGAAATCCTGTCAGTGGTGGTCGTATCCCTGGGGGACCTGGTGGAGGACCTCTCATCCTTGGCATAGCCATCGGTCGAGCACCGAACAGAGGTGGCCGACTACAAATAAAAAGATCAATTCAAATTTATACACGTATTATATAATAACTTTAAGTATGTCACATAAATTTATGAGTAAAAACTCTATTCTGACAATGTTGCACATACATGTATGCCTATGATGATTATTTTGTTATTATTGAGTGATTCAATGTACATACATGTATAAGCCCCAGCACCTTCCACCATAGAGTGATTGTAAGCCTAACCAAAGAACTACCGTAAAACAGATTTTCACAAGTTTGATGTGTTGAGCAGAATCATTTGTGATTTACTTTCACAAATTTGTCAAGGAAACAATGAATTTTAATATTATTTCACATGTCCATGTGGATTATATTAACACATTTTACTTATCAGAGAAAATAGCGAATTTAAAACCCAGCGAATCATTAATGGGAGTCTAATGTTTATGTTAGACTGTATTTATGATCACACGGTAATTTGCATAATCTCGTGTTGGCATCAGTTTCTCAGTTTTATCTGCGTCAGCGGTTATGTTTGTTTCAAGTTGAAGTTTATTTCTGGATTCTGAACGAACCGCCACCAGCCCCAAATGACCTTTAGCACCTGGTAACAAAACATACAGAAAACTTCTTAAAACAAACTGCGATAAAGATAAATAAATGTTAACTATTAGTAATCAGTAATGATTATGAGGTGAAGCCGTGGTAGCTGAGATAAGACTACCTGGTAGAACAGCGAAGGCTATTGACTACCTGAGGTAAGTAAGTTAACAGTAGTGCTGCGGAGGCTGCACATACTAGCAGAGACAGCGTAAGCCGAGACCACGTAAGGGTTAGTAAGGCAGCGGAAGCTGCCTGGCAATGTAGAAATGGTGGAAGCCATAGCTACAAGTATGGTAGGTTAATATACATGAGGATGAAAATAAATACATACTATAAATAAACTAAGAGAAAACACTTGGGTGAAACTATATACACAAGGATGACAAAAATACATACTAAAAATAAACTAGGGAAATAAATCTTGGGGGAACAAATGAGTATAATCCACTAATACGAAGCCCTCTGGTGCATTTACAGTATCTTGAAATAGTTGGGACTTCTTTATATACCATTTGAAGATGCAATATAGAAGAAAACATATTTTTTTAATAATGTTGTTCTATACTTCTCACTGTAGACTAAATTTATGAATAATTTATGAATACATGTATGAATGTGTTGGGGCTGTGAAAAAAAGACTTGAAAATGTGCACGAATAGGTAAATTACATTTCATTTGTTAAAACAATGAAAGAGTTCAAACTGTCAGTTTTCAAGAGTAAACCAAAAAAGTATATTTTTAATATCGAACTACGACTAAATAATGAGCAATGGTGTCAGAACCTTGGAAGAATAAGGTGTGTTTGTGTGCATGTTGAGACAGTAGATGACAGTTTACATGTTTTGACTTTTCCAGTGTCCCTAACACATGTCAGTTCAATTTTTGTTTTTATTAATTACATGTAAAAACTAAATTATAGCCAATCCATTAATTCAAAAAGATAATCCTAAAGTGTATGAAATTTGAAGAAAAGCAGTGCAAACTTTGTGAATTTTTTAAAACCAATAAATTACAAAAATCAAACTCCAAAATAACAACTTGACATAAGTTTTGACTTTTATTTCTTCAATATAAACACTTTTTAGCACATTTTTAAAAACATCTGATTTTTTTACACCTAGTGTCAAATATGTTTTACAAATTCTGAAAACTTGAAATTCTTCAGAAAATTAGAACAAAACTGGCAATCAAAATAGCAACATTACACAAAGTGTTGCCACAGGAAGCAATTGCTACATTGTGAGCAATATAGCTATAATCATTAGCAAAACAGTGTCTCATACTGCAATATAGCCATTCCATTATTTCTTGCAGTGGCAGTGAAAAAAACTTCTTGCCTTGAAATGCAGTGATCTCCCCAGAAATTTTCCATAGAGTCGTGACAAATTTGCATAATTATTAACATAAATTAACATATTGTATGGCACAAAGAAAATTGGGAAATAAAACCCATTTTTTCCTTTTTTTACTATTTATTTTATGTACCGGTACAATCTATCACTCTTTTGTATCCAATAAAAGTGCACTGCATGTTTAGACAGTATTGCAAATGTCTCACAGAAATACTGAGTTTTCTATTTCTTTGCTTGGCCCATAAATCAGCAACTTTATAAAACCCTGTTCGACCCCAGTAAATTAAACATTGGGTTGATGATTCTTCGTGCTTGTCTTCCGTTTCTGTTGTTTTCTGGTTAAGTACATCCATGGTTCGAGCAATAATAGTTTTTATAATTATCCATCTTTATGTCATTTTTTTATTCATCGATGTTGTTCGACACAATTGTGAACAAGTCGAGACAACGGAGGTCTGAATTACGAATCGTCGCCATTGTTATACCACGTAAAGAAATAACACTCCAAGTGTTACGTTTCTTGATGAGAATTCCTGGTTTCTTGATAAATATATTATTTTCCATTATACTTCATCAGGATCTGAGCACGATATGCGATCCGAGTGGGAAGTTCACGCTCACTGGATCTTACGTGGGTGACGCCATCTTGAATTCATGATCACAAGGTCAAAATTGTTTACATCATAAATATATATTTTTTCACATTTTGATCTCAAAAAACAAATACATTATCAAAAATACTGACAAAAATCAAAACCTAGAATAATAGTACAATTAAATTTCTAAAAATAATAATGAAAATATGTTTCGTACACACTGGAAACATGTGGCTTTTGACCCCAAGTGTGACTGTATTCATTTGCATATGAATATACATTTGGCAAAGAGCGTTTAACACCGGGGCTTATGGCTTTGTCTTTATAGAACTGCTTTGTTTTTTAAAACGATATTCAACCAATGAGAAACAACAGGGGATTATCCCAAGAATTTGGCGTTAATACCATGCACTTGTAGATTTAACTAGTTAGCCAGGAAACTTTACAGTCTGTGAGAGACTGAACAAATCAGATCACGGGATAAATAATAGCATCGCGGAGGAAACACATAGCGGCGCGGGCTGCAACACTATTTTGGCCTGGCGAGAACACTGGAATGGAGATAGATTACTTGAGAAATCAGCACAATATTTTTGGGGCTTTTAATCGTCAATCTTTAGTTATTTGTGTGACATTCACTCACTACCTGCTTTTGAGATTTACAAACTAAGTCAAAATGATACAGAATCATAGTCTTGTCATCAAAAATTGAATTGTTGAATCTATAGATTGTAGATTTAAATCTTATACACATTTCAAAGATGTTGTGTCATCTAGTGAAAAAATACTTTGTTGAATCAAGAATATAGCGAAAATTATTAGGAAGGCAGTGACGTTTACATAGCAGGTTGAAGGTTGGCCGTAAAGAGGTATGCCTATGGTACAACAGGGTCACGACCATACCAACGCTACTACGGCAGTGCTAAACAAGGCCGGGCAGTCTGTTTTATTTCCGTTGAGATGTCTACAACGTGGGGAATTAGTTAATTTTGGGTGTTTTAACACCTGAAAACAAAGCCTGACTTGTGACAGTGATTGCAAAGTTTTACTTTTGAAAGACATCGTTCACATGATCATATGCAAATTTGAATCACACGTAAGAACAAAACATGTAAACAAAGCAATTTCTTCAAATTTCAATCATATTATTATTCACCCTCTGGCTTACAACATCTACGTATAAGATTGAATCAAGAATATGGCGAAAAAATTATTAGAAATACGCTGACATTAACTCAGAAGGTGGGAATGATAAACTGCTTTGAAGCAAGTGGTGATTCCTTGGCATCGCGTAAACTGGCTGCCGAATATGGTATTGGTCGCACTCTATCGGGGCACAGGTTAACATGTGTGTTTGTTAGTTAGTTAAATGCATAAGAATATGAATCAATACATTTCTACATTTAGATAGATTTATTTATCTAGTGTTATCTTTATAAACAGTTTATTCAAATTATTCTAGTTTATTCATATTCCCCATTAACTAAGGAAATTACCCTATTATTTCACTGTTAGATCGTTTACATGTTTTCTTATATTAAGAGTTACCCCCTATGAGCAATGGAATCGACCTCAAACATGCTAATTATTATGCAAGTGTTACCCATGATTCCTAGTTTTCGAAGGATATGGCGATCATCAATGGAGTCCACATTTGAATTTAGTTCATAGTTTCTCAAGTTATTCACTTCTTTGCCCCTCATCACAGTTTTAATATAGAAGTTTGTACTACTGATGTAATTACTGGTTGAAATGTTCAGCGTTCTACCCATGAATAAAGAAGTCATTACGACTTTCTTTTGAATCTAATGTTTGTTCTGTGGAGATTTATTAAACGTGGCGATTTATTCAAACCGAATTCCCACAGCCACACACTCAGATACAGAATGTCCTGAAAAGGCCGGCCAAAATTCTTGATGAATACGAAAATAATGCACCCGTGGATTGTAATTGTCTGACTTGGGAATGGTTTAAGGATGCCATGGCAAAAAAAATTCCAGTAAGCGGGCCTTTGATGCAAGAACGTGCACTGTCCTTCGCAAGCGATCTCGGTGTTGACGACTTCAAAGCATTGAATGGCTGATTGAACAGTTTTCAAAAGCGTCACAACTTTGTATTTAGTACCATGACTGGCGAAAGTGGTGACGTGAATAATGAAATTGTCGAACAATCGAAAAATAAGTTACCATCACTGCTAGATGGTTACGAACCCAGATACATTTATAACATGGACGAAACAGGATTTTTCTACCGGGCGACTATGAATAAAACTTTATTTGTGAAAGGCAAACAGTTTTGTGGAGGACAGAAATCTAAAGAGAGACTGACAGTATGTTATGTGCAAACATGGTAGGCGATAAAAAGAAGCCATTAGTTATCGGAAAATCCACCAAGCCACGCTGCTTTGAAAACATTAACCCTTTTCCGGTCAAGTCGGTGAAAAACCGCCGTCAATATGGGTATGCTAGAATTTCCCACTCCAG